TATATAAGTCGATCGAAATGTAAAGGACATGTAGCAGAAAATAGCACATCTCTAAAACTGTACCACCTTTGTGTACTTCTCTGCACTATGGTCACCAACAGCTCCGGTCAGCAGTATGATACTCCCCCGGCCAATATCCGTTAAATGATCTGTCTTGTATTCCACCATCCTGACCGTTGCTCTATCACCTGGGTTTTATGCATGTACTAGCACATGCTCGGAGATGGAAGTGTTTTAGGGTGTTTTTATATCCTGGGATATGAATGTACGTCCAAACGGATGCTTACAAATTATATGGATATTTGTTTGAACCGATATAAATAAGATATACGGGTTATCTACTGGATATTTGTCCAAGTATATAACGTTGTGTGCTTATGTACAAAGTCCCCCTGTCAGCAGGGATTAGGTGCACTACCGGTTGTCTCAGCGCAGCATAGCTCTATACACCTTTGGTTATTCTAATTCTGTAGCTTCAACATGGAAAGACACACGCTCCCTCGTTGTCTTCCTAGTTGGAGAGAGGTCTCTCCACGCACTATATATACTTGTTATTATGGATGTTTCGAGACTGAACTGGAGAGTATATTTACATACATACATTCTATATGCGGTGAAAAGTGATTACGAATATGTCAGTAAGCAAATTACGTGTGAATCCGATGAGTCATCAACTTCACAATAAACGTACAAAATAAATACTCGATACATAATAATAAAAAATACAGACGTATGATGTGTACCTATACTTGCTTGCTAAATCCATCAAGGCTATGCTATATGATTGACACAAGGAACGTCACAGAGACGACAAATACTGCTTGAGATTTGCAGTGTACTTCGGATATATATACGCGGATCATACATAATCCTTTAGCCTATGGTGTCAGGTTTAGTACATGCGCCCCTGATTCACTGCTCACACTTAGAAATACAGCACTCCTACAGGAAGTCATTGGACGCGGGGATCTCACTCCATCCACGTGTACACACATACACATGCACGCACAGACACACAGACACACATACACACACATACATACATACACACATACATGTATATGTATATATACGGAGACACTAGCAGCTACTTCATTGTGTAGCAAATTGCACTGCTTGTGTACGCGAATGCACTAGCATCTACCATAATTTAGCACGAAGGCGTATCGTGGGGAGATATTGGAGATAACTATGAACAATATAACTGGTATGTCTACATGTATGATACATTCAGTTGCGATAGAAAGTGAATATATTCTCGGTTGGTCTGCAGTTGGTATATGATGTCTAGTACTAACACCCCGTTCCATGTATCGAGCTATGGCTACTCATGGTACGAAATCACCAAAAACGACGGTGCTTTAAGCCGAGTGCTCGTTATCATAACTGTGTGTTAGCCTTCTGTGTCGAAAGTGCGCTGAATATATCATTGTACTGAGATTGTCATATTCAATGCATAATATTGTACCTACCATAAACTAGCTGGACTGTTTGCGTGTACTATATATAGTCCATATATCATATAATGTGATTCTGTATTTTTAGCAACTGGCAGTCTAAGGATCACAATTCAATCTGAAGTAACGGTCTTCACCGACAGTACTTGAAACCTTGCATGATTCTCGATGTGCTGTCCTCTTGCGAGTCGGTATGTACTGGAAGGGCATCTGAATACAGTATCTTCTACTCGGGTGTTTTCGAAAATATCTACATATGCATAGTTGCTCTCGATCATGTTCAATCTC